AGGCTGAATTAATCACTGGTTTGACACTCACTTTTATATCCTTTTTGTTGTCCTTCTGACTTTCTTTTACCTGCAGATGATTGCTGAGAAACCAACAGTTAAAACTTCCTGGACTACTCTAGGAAGAGAAAAAAATATGGTGACACTAAGCCAGGGGGAGATAAGGCTGACAGTGGAGGCAATAATGAGTTTTGTTTAGATAAAGGGATAGAATGAATGACGGGGAGATTTTATGCATTTCCACTGAGGCTAGGGAAAGAGGGAAGGTCAAAACTAAGAAGAGTGCCCTATGGGCTTAGAGATACAAGAATTATTTTTTCAGTGGAATAATGTTTCAAGATTATAGATACTCTGCTAGGCAAATTTTTCTTACAATGGTTTCAGTTCAGTATGGCACTGAAAAAGGAATAGCCTTTCAATGACCTTTTCCACCCCATGATTAAAATTCAGTTTACAGTTTTCTCATTATCTCAAGATATGTATAAAATACTGATTCTACTCTAATCTGACTTGGCTCTTATAGCCTGGGAATTTCTGTTTTATAGTCCTCTGGCCACAGTATTTCATTTTATGATGTAAAAAGTCAAAGGAGATAGATGATCTTGATAGTCTCCTATGCAACAGAGCTGCTCACCTCATTTAAATGGAAATGTGCATTTTCATGGAAATCCGGGTCTGTGTTGATGAACAAAGATAAGCTGCCACTATTAAATAGAACAGTGAAATACAAAAAAAAAAAACAAAAAAAAAACAAGTGTCCTAGAAAACTCATTCAAACAAACAGTAAAATTTACAGCCAAAGATAGGGAATTTTAAGAATATATATATGGCCTAGATATTGGATAAATTGATTTTTCTAAGGATTTGTCACATAACATTTAGATGGTTATAAAGTTGAAAATCCCAGGATAGAGGTTGTGTGTGGATGACACATTGAATCCCTATGTCTCTGATTAGCATAGTGACTTAATACGAAAAAAACTAATTAGCACAGTGACTTTTATAAGTAGACATTAGCCAACTCATAAACATTGTCAGTGAACATGTTAAGAAGTACCATGAGTTAGGTGTGATATCATTTCTTTCTTAAAAATCTAATGTAGCTATTTGGGGGTTCATTTTTTAATAACTTATTTAAGGAATATTTAATGATTACTTATTGTGCCTCCTAACTAGAAACCTGGGAAACAGTTTTACCTATTCTTTTGCTAAAAATGATGCAGGCTTTGTAGATTTTTCTTCAGCAATGAATTGTGAATCTATTGTTACTATCAATTCCTTAATCAGACCTGAATATCGTTTACCCAATAATTATTAAGATCTGATATCTTGCTTCTTGCTCCCATCTCCCCCACTCTATCCCACTTCTGTCCAGCATCTATACTGCCCCTTAAGTCCTTTAATTTACACTTCACGGGGAATACCTAATGCACCTGGATAATGATGAAATGAAGTCTGAGAAGAAACAATCAAATACGTGGGGAAAAAATAAAGGATATGAGACACTAAGGAAGGTATTTACGGTAAAAAGTTGGGCAAGTAACTAGTTTTGCAAATATGTCATAGATGTTACATAACTTTATTAATTAATTCTTCTTTAGTTTGACTCAACAGTGCTTTTCCACCTTGCTGCTATGGGAAATGTCTACACATTCATGAGCTTTTTTCACAGACAATTAGAGTTTTAAAGAACATGACCTAATGGGGTTAATTAACAGAACAGTGCTCGCCAGGGACACAAAGAGGAAAGTTATAACAGCTTTGTCTCATAAAGCATTTATTTTTATGATTTTTCTGAAGATAAATGGTAAAAGGATGCTTAGCATATTATTTGAAAGTTGAAATAGTAAAAGGTGAGTAAATATAAAAAACAGACACTGATGTATTGGGTTGACTACATGGTTTAGACATTGTCTTTACCAAATGAGAAAAATCCCATCACAACTTTTAAACAGAGCAGGGGAATAAGATATTAAAATAGTCTCATGAATAGCTGTTGTTTACTTTGACAGTATCTGTTACACATTTTTTTAGAGCAAAAGTTATATTTTTATTGAAAACCCCCCAAACTAAAGAAAATGTAACTTCTTTACTTACACTTTAGATACTTGATTTTATCTCTCAACATGATTTTTTAAAAAATGAGTTTCAGGTATACAAAACAACGCAATAGTTATGCTTTTCACCCCTCACAAAGTGACAACCTCCCTTCCTCAATTCACCGCCTCCCCACCCCTGATATCATACAGATCTATCATAATTCCATTGACTCCACTCCCTACACTGTACTCCACATCCTGTGACTATATATGTATTAAATTATTGTTGACATGTGATATTAGTCAACGGCAGCTTCAGATGTACAGTGCAGTGGTCAGGCCTCTATGCCGTCCATGAAGTGGTCTCCCTAACAAGACATGAGTCCATCTGGCCCCCTAAAAAATATTTACAACATTATTGATTATATTCTGCAAACTGTCTTTTCTATCCCTGAGGCAATGTTGTGGTTACCAATTTATGTTGCCTCGTCCCTTCCCCTTCTCCCTTATTCCACCCCCATCCCATCTAGCAATCATCAGTTTTTCCTCTTTGTCTCTAAGACTATTTCTGTTTACATTGCTCATTTATTCAGTTCTTCAGATTCTACATATAAGTGAGATCATATGGTATTTGTCTTTCTCTGACTGACTTAATTCACTTAGCATAATGTTCTCTAGTTCCACCCATATCGTTGCAAATGGTACTATTTCCTTCTTCTTCATAGCTGAGTAATACTCCATTGTGTAAATGTACCACAGTTTCTTAATCCAGTAGTCTACTGATGGGCATTTCGATTGTTTCCAAGTCTTGGCTATTGTAAACAGTGCTGCAATGAACATAGGGGTGCATATATTTTTTTGAATTAGTGTCTTGGGTTTCTCTGGATAGATACCTAAGAGTGGAATTGCTGGGTCATAAGGTAGTTCCATTTCCAGCTTTTTGAGATACCTCCATACTGATTTCCATAATGGCTGCACCAATCTACAATCCCAGAAGTGCAGCAGGGTTCCCTTTTCCCCAGAACCTCGCCAGCACTCGTTGTTTGTTGATTTATTGATGATAGCCATTCTGACCGGGGTAAGGTGTTATCTCATTGTGTCAACATGATTTTTGACACTGGTACTTAATTTATGCACAAAGGGCGATGGCAGAAAATGCTTCTGCTGAACCTGGGAGAGTATTGAACACTGCCGTATAAAAGGACATACCAGAGGGGGAAAAAAAGCCAAATACAGGGTGTGATGGAATTATTCAACTTCTCTTTTGTCTTCCTCTGCTGTCTTAAGAAAATGAACCCCCAGACTAAGTAAATATAATGCAATCACTCTTTTCAATTATAGCTTTAATGCCTGTTGAAGTGCTTTATGTTGAGAAGAGGGCAGAGATTCTGGTTGCATTCCAGGTTCTTACTCTTTCTGATATGACAGCTTCTTTTTGGCTGTGAGCATTAGGATTAAGTGTACAGGACACTTGTGTCAGCTTTCAGAGGGAGACCTGGCCATGTAGGAGATGACCCACTGTGCATAGGGAATCAAGTGATATAAGGGCCTCTCTCCAAATGTCCCTGGAACAGTGCTAGTTCTCGGTGTCCCTGGGAAACAGAGTCAGCTCTGTGGGCATAGGCAGGCAGGGCCTTGAGCTTACAAGGGCCCTGCCATTTGTTTAATACTTTGTTGTCACTGTCTTGAAAGTCTTAACCATTTTTCAACAAGGGACTCTACATTTTCATTTTGCACTGGTTCCTGCAAACTCTTTAGCTGGTCTTTTTGATAAAGAAGGGCTTTGGAAGGGACAAGGGATAATTTAGGTGCTTCCTTTTGCTTTTTGCATAGACATGATACCTGGCAGGAATGGTCAGGCTTCGGTGTGTTCTGCTTTCTCCAAAGGATTGCACAGATATCCACCATCTAGAGATGACCAATATCCTCCTTCAGGATCTGGATTCCTTTTTCTATTTGTTAATGCATTCCCTTATCGCCTTTTTACCTTCATGCGTGGCTGCCTGGTCAGAGATTATATTTCCAAACTCTCTTGCATTTAAGTGTGTCCTCGTGATTGTATCTGGGCCATTGAGATGTGAATAGATACGTTTGCAATTCCTAGGTAATTACCTTAAATACAAAGCCAGAGACTGTACTCTTTGCTTCTTCTCATGGGCTGGAGGACAGATGTGCCGGTGAGCCAGCTTTGACCTTTCAGAGGAGGATAATACATGAGGGGAAGGCAGAGCAAAGAGTAGAAGGAACTCGGGTCCTTTCAAGACCTGAATGAGAGCGCCTCTGCCAGCATGGATTATTCACCTTGGGTCAAGGACTGCAAAGAGGAATCAATATTCTGGGGTCTCTGTTACATTGGCTTAGCCTCTGCCCTAAGTAACGTACAGAATGAATTCTTGGGGGCTGATTCACATTAAATTGGTATTTATCCAGAATAGTTGAATAATATAATGCTTCGAATGTTCGAACATTCTACATAGGGAAAATTCCTAATTTACATAAAAATGATACAGAACTAATTGAACCTAATTTTAGCCTCATGATTCTTAGACCACTTCTTGGTCTTGCATAGCATCCAGGTCATCAATATGAATCCTAATTACAGTATATGTCTATAGATATTGGAGCTTGAGTAAATCTATAATAACCTATGAGAAATTCCTGAAGTTGTAGTTTTAAAATAAATTCCAGAATCACTCTAGGTTTATTGTAATTTATCTTCATACTGAAAGAAGACTATAGGATGGTAAAAATAACTTTTGTGACTTTTCTCATTGTTTAGAAACTGAATTAAGGTACTTAAAATACTTTTTAAAAAAATAACATATGTTAAGACAATTTTAGTTCTCATTTCTTAAAATTTTTCAATGATTAAAACTGCTAAGATTTAAAATATTATGTTGATAAGCCAGTTACAAAACCATTAAGGAATCATATCTTCATAAGTGTAGATTTTATGTTTACCTGCCCCGATGACTCTCTCGATGCGAATTCTTGAAGGGTCAATCTCCTTTGCAAATTCATGGACTGCTACGGATGGGTCTTCATATGTATCTGGATCTATGTAAGTTTTAATTCCTGGAAAGCGTACTGCAACAGAATAAAAGATTGGTTTAGTTTAGAAGTTTTTTAGTAATTACACATCTTGTGACTATTTAAAATGAGGAATTATATACTGAAGCACTCATTCTTGTTAGTTACTTAAATTTTGTTTTCCCATCCCACTCATCCACATGTCCCCACACTATTAAAGTTTTGAGTACTTGGAATAAAAATTTTATCTACCTGTTAATATAAAATGACCTGGTGGTTTAATAGAGAGTGAGCTGACATTTTAATTATATTTCTGTAAAAAAAATTAATCAGCTCACTTATCCACTAACAACCCACACATTTCACATCGGATCTAGCTCAGGATGTGGGGGAAATGAGGCATAAGCCTCCCCCACTCCCCTCAAACAAGAAAGCATATTATTGCACCTTCTGGACCCTTTCTACTCAAAGGCACTAGGTTTTCCTGAACTTACGCCCCAGTCTTGTGGTTTCTCCCATTCCAGATGCTCCCAGGCAGTAAAGAACAGACCCCACCCCCCATGACACAGTGACAGAGTATGACAACAAATAATAGCTCTTTCCTGTGTTCCTGTACTTGCCACCATGGCCAGGATGCAGACGGTCCTGAGAAGGACCCTCTGTCTATCCTGGAGGGAAGGACAGGAATCAAAGGCAGGAATCCGGTCATGGGCTGTGGAGCTGCTACTCCTCTGGCAGGGGTGCAGTGCTCACAGCCCAGGGGCAGTTACAACAATGAATCGGGATGGCTGGAAACCTTGAATGTGTGGTTGGTATTCATTTACCACTTCAGTATCAGAAGTCCCAGACCTGCCTGTGGCTATTCCTCTGTTTTACTTACTGGTTTATGTTTTCCACATTAGGTTGATAGCTCTTGGAGGACAAGAGATCATTTTTTACACATCTCTGTATATTTCCAAATACCTTAGCTATGGTTTTATGGGTACTAAGCACACAGCAAGCCTGTATTGAATATGAATTAATAGGGATTAAAAGATCAATGCAGATTTGAGGCATAGTGGACGATATCTGGTTTTGTTGCTTCTTAGGTTTTTGGAAAGCCATACAATGTACTGAGTTAAGCGTTGTCTAGGCCTGTGTAGAAACATGCTCTTTCAAAAAAGATCTCAAAAGCAAGCAAACAAAAGGTAATAAAGTGAGTTTAGAAGAGTAATGAAAAGTCCATTACTAGCAATAATTTGCTCCATGAGTTCTTCTATGCCAGCTACCTTCTTTTATTACTTTTTGCCTATTGTCTTCTAGTTATTGGATATACACCATGAGATTGGCACTTCTCAAAATAGCATAGTAAAGCATATTTTCAGGTATACTGACAATGATTCTGAAATGCTGTGCTTTTCTTCATTTCCCAAAGTTTGGATTGGAGAAAAGGAGAACAGATGATCTGTACCTGCAGTTTGTATTCTATATGGCATTTTTGTGATTTAGTAGGAGTTGTGATTTCAGTTTGAATACTGTCCACTCAAATCCAGTGGCTACTGCTAGATGTTTTGTAGCATCTAATTGGATATATGGTCATGTTGATAACATTACTTTAGGACAGATAACAGATATTATTTATTAACTCACATGTGGTTTTAACAATTCAACCATTCAATTATTTAAGGTGATACACACTTCCAAGGAATAAATTGATTAGTTAATGTCACTTTTTTTTCTTGTAAACACAATATATGTGTATAAGAAAAAGAAAGCAAACTTAATTCCAATTTTGACTGGTTACTCATTTAACTTATCTAAGACTTCTTAAACATCGGTTTATCTTTCTCCTACCTCCTTAGCCGCCTCAAGTTATTTTCATTGCTTCTTGCTGGGCCCATCTGGTTTAGTTTATGCTAAATTGCTAGTTGGGGAAACAGATAATAAATGCCTCAGGAGCATCTCTTTCTTCTGCATTTCAGTTCTAAATATCCCACAGTGAATCTTAAAGTTGCTCAGCATAAGCTGTCTGTCCAGGTGTTTGGATCCAGGTTTCTGCATCTGTTTCCAGCCTTTCCAGCTCATCCCATGCCTGGTATTGGCTGTCTCAGCTCTCACCTCCCTGCCAGTGCAGTGAGCCTCAAACTTAATGTACAAAAGAACACTCTTGCTAAAAATGCATGTCTTGGCCCTACCCTGGACCTTCTGCTTAAGAGCTTTGGTGAGGACGAGTGGACTACGTGAGTGCAGATGGACCTTAGACCACTCTGAGAAATCATGTGAACCTTAGAAATAGCCCTAAACCACCCCTCTAGTTTATACTTTCCTCAGTCAAATCATTTCCCTTCCCTGGATGGTGATATAGTTTGAAAAGTCCCTTGTTTCTTTTGCTCAATGTTAAGTAGAAAGTGAGTTTAAATAGTTACATAACTAGCCTCACATAGTATCTCTATACTGCGGTTAATTAGAGAAACCCCTTTCTTGTTAATTCAGCATCTCACTGCTGAGAAACTGTCTTGACAAAGTCATTTGCCATTTGAAGGTGGTGGTGGGTGCTGGGGAGGGGAGGGTGGCAATTATCAAACCAACTACAGTGGTAATTATGGCTTGCCTGGGAAGAGATCCTTTAAATGAATATAACCTTGTAGTCATCTCAAGGATTTCATACATATTCTAAGAGTTAAAGAACTGATTTTCTTTTTTAGTGTTAATGAATTGTAAATTGATTTGTTATATGTTTAAATGACAGTCCTTACAAGAAGGAATGAGGTTCCATAACATAGCTATGGCTAATGCTCACCTAAATAAAACCAACTCACATGCTGGAGACATTATGAGTACTAAATAACTAGATATAATCAGTCATCTTGTATTTTTAGCATATTCAGTCTGTTGTGTTTTTCAGCAAGTAGAATTAGGAAAAAGGCAATATCATTTAATGAGAAACAGGTGTAATTTCTACCAACTAACCTGGAAACCAGAGGAAGTCTTAAAGCTAAAAGGTTGGAAGTGATTTTTTTTGGCTTTCTCAACTCACTGATCCAAGCTCACAATGAATTCTTAAAGTGCTGAAGGAATATAAAATAATGGAGGAGAGTCACTGCACTACTTACAATGCCCATTCTGTAAGTGGTTTCTTCTCTTTTCTTCTGACTTCATTTTGGCCTTTATGTACCATTGGCACCTTTAAAAAAGGTAAACAGAATCTTATTTTTAGAATTATGCTGGATAAGAACCAAAATTAATTAAAATATGTATCGCTCATAGGCAAAGTCCTTATCATAAAGACCACTTTTAAGGACATCTTGTAACATGTGAAAATACTCCATAGAAGGTTTTTTGTATGAATCACAATTAGCCCCAGATAAAAAGAAAATACTCTCAAGCAGACTGACCGATTCAAATGATAGGAGTCTCACAAAATATTTTATAATCAGCATAACCATCATATGATTCCTGATATGACTTCTAATATCTAGAGTTGGTGAAAAACATTAAAAATCAAAATGAAGAAATGTTTTTGAGTCAGGATTTCAGAAATTTAGACAACTGTCTTCCAGTTTCAGTGCTAAATGGTATAATTTTTGTTTTTAATGTCAGAAATTTGGCAGAGGCATGTCCTGTACTCTCTCAGGATAATCGTCTCCGAAGAACAGAGGCAGGTGCTTTCTCCCATGACTTCTTCAACATGAATAAATTCATTAACATCCATAGCATCTGACAGTTCATCAAATTGCTAATTACAAATGGTTAAACAGAATACATCTGTGGCACACAATCCATTCTTTCAATGGGCATTTTGCTTCAAATCCTATGGCGAACTGAGTATTTACTCAGAAATGTCTTATAGTTTTCATAGGATAATTTCCAATGAACGTTCTCCTACCAAAGTTCTTAAGAGATATTTCCAAATAAATTATTTTTATCTTATGCAATTGAAATTGTTTTCCCCAGTATGTAGAATGTTAAAGCAATTTCTAATATTATATAAATTGGCAAACATGAAAATTGAAAGCTGAAAATAATTTAGTACAAAATTTTCCTCATCGTTTAAATTTTCTTTTTAAGTGGTATTCAAATTCTGCTCAGGAATCCCAAATAAAGATAACATTTGAGCCCATCTCTGAAATTTATTAGGTCTAGCTTATTTAACTTACAATGATTGTAATGTCTTCTTTTATGTTTCTCATATTTATGTGTTAAGGCGATATCTCAATTTTTAATGAAATGCCTTCTTTCATGTGTATATACTATTTATAGCATTGTTTCCTGAAATGCTATACTCTATGAGGAAATAAGGCCTTAACTCACATTCCACAAATACACATAAATGTAACTTAAAAATTACATCGAATTTTGCATTATGTTGAATCACTATAAATAAAATGTCATGTAAATCAATATTCATTATGAAGTTAGAGTAATTTTTTTTTAATCAGAGATAAATGACACTGCTGTTTAAGTAAAATCATACTTAAGAAAGTACTCCATTTATATAAGCTATGAAGTGATCCTAGCCACGGTGCTGTTCACCTGAAACTAACATAAAATATTGAGTGTCATCTATAATTAAATATACAAGTATATTTATATGGTCACAGGCTGTAAAGTACAGCATACGGTATATAGGCAATGGCATTGTAATAACTATGTACGAAGTCAGACGGGTAGTAGACTTGGAGGGGGTTATCACTTCGTGAAGGGTGTAAATGTCTAATCATTATGTTGTTTTGTATATACCTGAAACTAATAATAAAAAAAGAAAGTACCCTAAACTTCTACAAAGAAGCTTTCAAATAAGAAAATAAGAATCTATCTGGATCAAATTAACCATCATATGTAAGTTATCACAGTTTAGTTAACATGATATGATTTGTGTCTTTGGAGTTAAGATCACCTTATTGGACTCCATTGTACTTTAATAACTGAATAATCTCTCTGGGTTCCAAATTACCTGTCTTTAAATTATGTGCAATACCACGATAAAAAAAGTATTATCAAGATATCACTGCACCCAAAGTCACAATGTATGGGTAGCACTTATGTTATAAATGGCAATGAAAATATAGTAAAGTTTATTCTTTTTTAAAACAATTTTCTTATTAATTTAGATGTACTAAACAACATAATAATTACACATTGATATACCTCACAAAGTGATATCCTCAATAAGTCTATTACCCACCTGATACTGTACATAGTTATTACAACATTATTGACTATATCCCCTATGCTGTACTTTATATCCCATGACTATTTTAAAAAAATTATAGTTGACATTCACTATTATTTTATATTAGTTTCAGGTGAATAGTGTATTGGTTAGATATGTAATTTATGAAGTGATCCCCTCAATATGTCTACTACCCATTTGACACTATACATAGTTTTTACAATATTATTGACTATATTTCCCATATGTATTTCACATCCCTGTGACTATTTTGTAACTGCCAATTTGTACTTCACAATTCCTTCACCTTTCTCACTCAGCCCTCAACCTCACTCCCACCTAGTACCTATCAGTTTGTTCTCTGTATTTATGAGTCTGTTCCTGGTTTGTTTGTTCATTTATTTTATTCTTTAGATTCCACATATAAGTAAGATCATATGGTATTTGACTTTCTCAGTCTTAGCATAATGCCCTCTAGGTCCATCTATGTTGTCCTAATGGGACTATTTCATTCCTTTTTATGGCAGAGTAATATTCCATTGTATATATGCACCACAATTTATTTATCCAGTTGTCTGTTGATGGCATTTTGGTTTTTCCTTATCTTGGATAGTGTAGTGAACATAGGGATGAATATATTTTTTTGAATTAGTGTTTTGGAATTCTTTACGTAAATACCGATAAGTGGAATTGATGGGTCATAAGGTAGTTCCATTGTTAAGTTTTTGAGGAACTTCCATGTTGTTTTCCATAGTGGCTGTACCAATTTGCAGTACCACCAAAAGTGCTCAAGGGTTCTCTTTTCTCCACATCCTTGTCAGCACTGAGCAACAATACAAAGAAGTGTGTGAAGATAATATGTATGAAATAGAAGGTTTAGATGGGTGATGCTAGTCAGTTAGTCAGGATACAGCTTTAGGTCTTTTGCTTTGTTAAATGTACTATTACTTTAAATTTTCATCCATATTACTCTAAAGTTGAGAAATATTGGCTTTATAACCAATTAATGTAATTCTAATATAGATACTTTTAATATTTAATGAATTAAAAATGACACATTTCTGTAACACTATTTATAATGAACTTCCATATAAACTGTTCAATGTCTCTGTTAAATTTTTTTAATCCCTTTCATAGTATAATTTAATTGTAATAAAGGGAAAAAACAAAGAATTAACTTATTGAATGGAAATTTATCATTTTCAGCTTTTTCAAGTATTTGGTTCCTTCATATTCAGGAACTTGTTGACACTGAGCCATGGTGGTTCTGTTGTCTTACAAAGTTCACCGTCTGAGCAGAATCTACCCCGATCCCTTTTTCTCTCAGGTGTTCTTTGTTACTTTTAAATGTATCTGAATACACAGTGTATGAAAAGAATGTTTATGCACATATCTTGGACATAATCCGTGTACTGCAGTTACCTCCCGGTGATTAGGAAGAACAAGGTAAGAATGACGAGCAGAGTGAATCCCCCGACAGCTGCGGTGGCTATCACGAGAATCTGCCCCTGTTCTGCAGCCATGTCAGAAGCTGAAACACACACAATATTAAAATTTCCCTGGGTGACATTTCATTACCAAGATGACTTTACAACTTAGTATATGCTTGAAAATATGGTAATGGATACCAGAAAACCCTATCACATTTGCACTTTATTGGGCACATAGCATGCAAACCCAAAATAAGGGCTGAAAGTTGAGGTCATAACCCACAGCACAAACCCGTCTTCTTTTTAAACAAAATTACCAATAAAGTAGAAGGATTCTTAGTACCCTGTGTTTTAAGATTAAGTATGTGTTGTAAAATTAAATCAGCAGATGGCCTTAAGGAATTTATTTATGTAAGTGCTAGTTTATTTCCTTAAACACTGGCCAACAGACCAGACTTTACACAGTTTTGGTGTCTGTTTCCATAAGGCTGAAAGACTGTTGGATAATTTATTTTAAGAATGACGTTCTTTATATTTAATAGATCTTAATTCAAACATTAAAGTTATAGATTCTCACTTCCACGCACAAGGGTATACATAGTTTGTGCTCAGATGTTTGACTGGCAGTAATTAAGAAAACGATACTTAAAAGCTTCTTTTTCTAAAGAAAAGACTAGATAGTATATGGTAACAACAGATTACTTCTCTCATTGACAAAATCATAACTTAAAACCATATGGTCTACATGTTTCCTAAGTTTCCTTAGTTCAATTAATTATTCAGCACTCTCCTCTGTATTACTGAAGTTTTAATCAGATGTAATTTTTATGGGATAAGATATGGGCATTTGTTTAATAATAAAGGTAAGGAAACTGAAGCCCACAGAAGTAAAAGAACTTGCCTAAGGTCACACTTGATTATCACCAGGATTCAGCCTTCTAGATTTTTGCTTCATTTTTCCTTCCAATGCTATAACTTACAGTAATAATTCAGTTAGTTATCAATATTCTAAAATATTAAATCAATCTGTCCCTCTAATATCCCTTAACTTGAATAAAGCTTGATTTTTATTTTGACCACTATAAAGAGTCTATTAATCTAATCAGTTATAAGTAGCAAATTGAATCAAAGAAAGAACTGACAAGCAAACCAATTAATTCTCTGCCATATTAATTTATTAGACTTCAGTACTTTATGGTTTCCACAGAAGTAGGTCTTTCCCTGGGAACCAAGCATGCAGTATACTATATCCAAATTTATATCCAGAGTAATATCCTCATAAAAATGACATATCTACTAGAGAATATCTAAACCTTAAATGTTATTATGGAGTCAGTAAGAAACCTGTCACAGTATTTAAGATGCCTTTTAAGGAATCTAAATTTAAATAAAAACAAAAATCATTTATGTTCTGTTTTCAGTGAGAAATGTATTAAACCTTAGAATTAGATTTTAGTCACTAGGATTTAATCAAGATATTTCCAGGCAATCTATTTAAATGTTGAGTTTTAGTTCATAATCTGTACAGAGAAAAGTTAAATAGTTGCATAATGTATAATGTACTAAAGATTTTTTATTTGGTCCTCACTGAATTTCTTAATCTTCAAACTAGCATTAACATCATGTGAATTAATGTTTGCTGTACAATGTCACATTTTGTCATTGAAAATTGTTGAATAACAAATTGTAAGAAATAGATGTTACAGAAAACAATATTAACTTTTTGAAGATAAAGGAAATAGCATTTTAGAAGAAAACATCATTTACTTAGCAAATGTTGTATTTGTAAAATATATAATGTAGTTTAAGAGTTTTAAGCCTGGAGCAAATATTTTCATGATAGCTAGGTATCAAGTAATTTATTTTGACCATGTATTCAAAGTTCAAATGGAGGAGAAAATTATGTAATCTTGTGTTTTTTGAAAATCAGACTCCCTTTTTACAGAAAATTGAGTTGTTTTACTTAAACAATAGCTTAGTAAACTGCCCATTTTACTAAAAAATCTTTTTTACTCTTGTGATTACATATTTACAAACTTTGCTTCAATTAAAATTTTAATTGGATAAGAGAATATTAAGTTGTGACACTGAAAAAGGCATATTCCTATCTTGTTGTTTCTTAAACCTTTGTACTAGGAGTCCTAAACCCCAATCTCCTTTGTGGAGAAAAATACATATAAATACATGTCATTTGAAAATAAGAGTGTATAATCTGATGCACTATTGTACACAGAGTAAAATGCAATGGATGATGGGCTAGATGATTGTGAAAACATTATGGACATCACCATCATCAACAACAGACATTATTTATTTAATGGTAAACTATCCTCCTAGCACTATGTTTAGTGCTTCAAATTCATTATCAAATTTGTCTGCACAATAGTCTCAATAGGTAGATTCTAGTATTATTCTTAGTTTAAGTGGTTACAGATATTACTCGGCTAAGGTCACATTTCTTGTACATAGGAAAGCTGGCAATGCAGCCCTAATTTGTCAGGCTCCAAGCCCATACCATTGACAGTATTTTATACTGCCATTTTCACAAACAGAACAACTGGTTAGATCCAGCTCTTTTGTGTGTCCTAGAACAATCATAACCTTCCTTGATCTTAGTTTCATGTTTGTAAAATGAGAATGTTGAATTAAATATCCTTGTCACAATTTTTCAGAGCAATTTTACTATGATATTGTGTTATTAATTTGCTACTTGATATTTGGTCTTAGCCAAAATGTTCCCTGAGACGTTTAGCCCATGCCAAAAGGTCCTTGATATTTGGTCATATTTGGTCCTGTCCAAAATGTCCATGGAGGCATTTGTTCATGATTTTTTAAATAATACACTTAACTTGGTTAAAATTGTATTAGTTATTTTTTATTAGGATTTGTGTTCTAAGAATGTACATTTTAGACAGGACCAAATATCAAGGGCCTTTTGTCACGGACCAAATATCTTTGTGGACGTTTTGGACAGGACCAAATTTGCTGCAAGAGTGTTAGCCATAAAGCTACAATCAAATATTGGGAAGAATAAGACTTGCCATATGAAAATAAGAACACTCAACCTATGCCATATGGAAATAAGAGGAACACTTAGTGCCTCCTGCAGCTCTTGGTTCTGACAAGGATAATTTCTGCCTTTTTATCATATTAGTGTTGGTCAATCATAGAGCTCTTTCTTTATCTCAGCATGAAGTCCAAAGCTCTTAACTTTGTTAAAAGGCTCTATACAACTGGCTCTAGTATTATATATATATCTCCAGATTATCTCTTATCATTCTCTAACCATGCTGAGTTTCTTCTACTTCTTTGTGCCAAACTAGCTCTCATGGTGAATTCTACTCAATCCTCCTACATGAACATGGCATCGTTTGTGAAGCTTTTTTCTTGTTGTTTAGATTTGTTTACATCCCCAGACACATTCCCACAGACTCTACTATTTCTACCAATAAATTTCTATCATGTTTTATTGAAATTACTATTGACATCCCCTCTACCTTTTACCCCACCCCCACAAAAAATTTGCAGGTGTAATTAAGAATGTCAATTATCTTGGATTAACTGGGTGGGTTAAAATCCAAAGACAAGTGTCCTATAAGAGACAGAAGAAGAGAAGACAAAGAGAAGTCCACGTGAAGATAGAGGTAGAGATTGGAGTTATGCAGTTACAAGTCAAAAAATGCTGGAGCCACCTGAAGCTAGAAGAGCCAAGGAAGGATCCTCTCCTGGAAATTTAGGACAGAGTGTGCTTCTGGTCTCCATAATCGTAAGAAAATAAATTTCTGCTGTTTTAAGCCACTAAGTGTGTGGTAATTTGTTATAGTAGCTCTAAGAAACTAATCTAGTATTCAACCTGTAGTGCCTGATACAGGGTAGGAGCTCAATAAATATTTGTTTGCATAATAGATTGAATGATTGTTTACATTAAATGATTCTGGCAAGAAAAACTCAGATTACTCTAGGGGTAATCCGTATCCTCACTTTCCACTTGATAGTTAAAGATTTACCCTGATGTTAACTATACTGTGTATGTGAAGTAAGCCTACTCAACTCAAAAGTTCAATCAGAAGAATCCAGTTATTCTATATGCTTAAGGATAATGCTTCCTAGAAGGCAGGAGATACTAGAAAGTACAGACTTCTACCTTTAACAAATTGAGGCATTTATGCTTAGAAATGTGAATCCAAGGCTTAGAATTTATTATTTCATTCAACAAATGTTTATTGAGCACCTATTACATGGCAGGCACTGAGGTAGACACTGGGGATACAGGAATGAACAAAAAAGGCAGTTACTACCCTCTTGGATTTAGAATTCACTGGGGAAGATAGACAATGAACAAATTATTGTAAGTGTAAGAATTGTTACAAAAGGGAAATTTCAGGGTGCTCTGGAAGACAATATGCAGCCCCTGGCAGTGAGTCAGCAGAGTGGGGATTTGGAAATGTAGTGTTAGAAGGAGGAAGGGGTGGGGGAGAAGAGGGAGACTGGCTGCGAGCTGTTCCTTGGTTAGAGGCCTCAAAGACTTGGATTAATTTAAATAGACATTTAGACAAATAAATAAACCATAGAAATCATCTAGCAATTGGATTCCATAAAAATACAGTATAGCTACAAATTCCTCTGTTGTGAAACTTGTCTGTTAGCACCAGCTATTCATTTTTCAATCCTGAGATTATTTCTACTTAGTTTTGTAGGAGAAAATGTATACTATAATTTACTCACATTAAGTTGCACCCTAGAGAGCAAACGTGTCCTTAAAAAGAAACACAATGAAATCCATAGTAAGAAGCGAAATGCATTTGTGACTAGTTGATTGGAAATGTCCCTTTGCTTAAAGGAATGAGGCTGTAGTCTTAGAAAAACACAAGTACATTAAAATGATATACTTCATTGTATGAATTTGGAAAGAAGCACACTTCCTTAAGAGAAAGACATTTTCCTAAGAGTTGCAAATTGTTAGGAACAAAGGCTTAACAGCTAGCCAATGCGTGGCATATGTCAGGATGACATTATTAAGTGCAATTTACTTTAGTTGATTTAAAAGGACAAAAGTGAAGTTTTTACTTGAATCCCAAACACTTAAAAAACGATTAAAAAT